CGTATTTTCCGTCTTTTAGTCTGGGATAGGGCGTACAATTCTTAGTTTTATTCTGGGGTAGGGTATGTAAAATCAATATTTTAGCCTGCTCGGGCCGTTCCTGTTTCTACTCTACGTAAATGATTTCCCTGATTTGGTAAGCCACGACACAAGTTTCGCCCTGTTTGCTGATAACGCAAGGTGCTCCCATCCCATCAGTGGTCCAGCAGACCACCACGTCCTCCAACAAGATCTGGAAAATCTTTATAACTCGACTAGCGTATGGGGGTTTTCATTCATCTTGAAAAATACGAGACCATGAGAATATCTACGTATTGGGTGGCAACGCCCTCTCTGTTGTCTCCTCGCAGAAGGATCTAGGGATCACAGTTAACACTCTTACTTGGAGCTTATTTTCTCCGTCATTGTGGACAAACCTAATCGGATGCTTGGCTTCCTGCGCCGACACTTTTGCACGTTACATTTATGCGATCCCACATGGGCTCCTGATCTTAGACCAAGGTACAAGTCGTGCCTAATTTCCCTGCGCTTGCTGCTCATTTCTTATTGGTTAGAGTGTAGAGACTTGTGCTTCATGTATAAGGCTATTAATTACCGGGACCTCGAGTCCATGCGCCTGCCCCTCTTCACGCTTGTTTGCTTTTGTATTTATTTATTTTCTGTTCTCCTTGGTAAGTCAAGCGTGATGAAAGCCTCTAAATAAAATATAAAAACTCAGGATGAATAAATCATTTTACAATAACAGAGCGTAATCTCGCAATCTGATTGGCTCACAGCTATGATCAATAAGAGGATAGACACATAGTATGCGCTTGAAACCGTTTTTCTTTAAAAGTTTTTCCTCGTTTTTAGATGTTATTTTGATTTTGTTATTATAAAAAACATATCGTTCATATATTTTCATTGACTGTCTACATTGAAACTACTCTCTGCACTCGTGATTCCGCTTGAATTTTCAACGTTTCTTAAAATGTTAAGAAGGCATCTATGATCATTTTAAAGAGGACAGGCAATGGAAATCTATGAGCGATTTGTAGAAAGGCAGTTCTTCGTTACGGACGTTACGTTCAGACTCCAATTAACAACTTTAATAATAATAATAATGAATACGTTCTTATATAGCGCATTATAGATTCTCAATGCGCTTTACAAATATTACGATGAAATGTTAAGTGAAAAAATAGATTAAAGTTAGAGTGCAAATAATATACCCGTGAAATAGATAGCTAGCTAACTAATTACTAACTTTGTGCTAGAGTGCAAATAATATACCCGTGAAATAGATAGCTAGCTAACTAATTACTAACTTTGTGCTATTGGTTGCCTAAGCTAATTAGTCAAAGAAATAGGCGAACCGTGACGGGTAAACTAGTGCACGTGTGCTACCCAAGGGCGCGCATTTTAAAATATTTTTAAGCACGCTGGCGAAAACTGAAACAATATTTTATTGTACACTGTACATGCTTTTCCTTCGTATAATTTGACATGTTCGCATTTTCGAATTCGTATCTGTTAAACAAACAAGTGAACTTGATTCATGTTTTATGACTTGATATTCAACTGATGACTGTATAATCTTCAAATTGTCTAGTGTTTATAAAGTCATTGCTTTTTCGTTTTTAGCGTAAGCTAAATTACAAATGACGATAGTTTTTCTTCGTTAATTGTCCACACTGTGGGCAGAAGCAAAAGTGGCGTTCTACGAAGCTCAAACAAGTAGGGCAAAAACGGTTCAAATCGAAATGGTTTTTGGACTGGCCAAAGCCAATACGCAGTAGACACCTGGAGTACTGGAACACAACATGCACATTGGAGTAATGATTGATGCCTTTCGCGCCATTTTCAAGGAACAAGTAAGAAAATTTTATGGAAGATCTTAGCGAATTTATATTTAACTGGCTTTTTAAATTATCTAATCAATAACGATTTTGATGTTCTACAAATTTTAATTATAAAAAATATAAAGATAACAGAAAACNGAGTATCTTTTGATTGATATTTCGGATGCCAAAATGAAGCACAATCGTTCACGCTTCTGATTGGACGAACGAGAGTGAAAAATAGTCGTTCTCTTTTCTGATTGGTTGAATGCATATTTGGTACGAATTTTACGCGGGCTTTTTATCGTGGATAAATCTTAGTACGTATGAAATAAAGCAGCTTTATATATTTGTTTAGCAATTTAGAACTCAACTGTGTTCTTTCACTCGCTGATTCCAGCCACAATTACACATCAAAAGCCCATATAGCTATTTCTTGGATTGTTGAGCGTAGAAAATCCTTTTGCGGTGCACAACTGGCGCACGATTTGACACACTCGGTAATCTTTCTCCGCCATTGATCACCAAAACAAAGCAAGTGCCTAAGATGCAATGCGCATGCGCAACAGAATACTTCCCCTGTTGGTGGAGTGACCTCATTTATATTCGTACAGAGATACCATGACAATAATATCATAGATTTCAGTTTGTAAAACGGCGATCTAGACAGCTTTTCTTAAATCGCGATTTATTCTAGAAAAGAAAAGAAAGTTTTTCCAAAAAAAAACTATATTCTGTTTTTTCTTATATTATAGACTATATTTAGGCAAAGTTTAAGCAAAATTTAATTTTCAATCCTTGCCGCCGATTTCTGAATTCGTTAGGTTTTTGCTGACAGCCTCTCTAGGCTTGCAAAACAAAACCAAATCAGATTCTTGTTTGTTAATCGAAGTAATATGATCATCCGGATGGATGTAGTCCTGAGAAGGACTGTTTGATGTGACTGACGAGCGAATTAAGATTCTTGTCTACAACGCAAACATTTGATCACCTAGCAACGTGACGTCATCACTTTAGTACTTTATTCCAAGGAGACATCACAACGGTCAGGTCATATGGATTAGAGAGGCTTTTAGATTAGTAGAAGATTTTTCCTTTAAAAAAATATAAAGAAAGCTATGGGGATCCGAGGGTTGCATAAGTATGCGAAATCAGTTAAAAGTTTATGGACCAACATACAGCTGGGACCGGAGACCAGAATCATCATAGATGGCAGCTCTCTTCCCTGGTATCTCAATAAAGAGATTGATTTTCAACGTGGTGGAAACTACGACCAACTAGCTGCTGCTATAGCGCATTTTTTCAATGCCTTTGCGTCTAATGGTGTGAAAACATATGTTATAATAGATGGGCCCACTGTTGCTAAGGATAAAAAGCTTAAATGCATAGAGATGCGTTTTGAGGAAGACATAAATTCATCAACAGGTGATGGTGGTCGTACTCTTTTACCGCTGATGTCACTAAGAGGAGTGTTCATTCAAGAATTAAGGAAACTTGAAATACCATTTGTGGTCTGCGATTGGTAAGTTTGAAACGGCACAATGTATTGCCCGTCATTTGCAGCATATATTTTATGGGCCCGTTCGCACTAGTTTAAAATTTGTTTCTTTTGCAAAAATATCTGTCATCACGAGCCTTTATCTATTGCGAGCCCAAAAATTTTGTCTATTTCTAACAAACTTCAGAGATGCCGTTCATAAATCACAACGATATTTACCGAACGAGAAAAGGGACTATTGTTATTACTACATGAGCCAGTATTACATATTATTTCTATCTGTAGAGGTACACCAAATTGGAATCACACTCACATATTCTCAGTTTAACAATACAACCAGATCAATTGCTATCGACCGCCGTTATATAATTTTTCAACAATTACAAGAATTCGATCACGATCTTTGAACAAACAAGACGCTCAAAGAGAGTAAACTGGGTGCGTCAGGCTTAGCGTTATGCATGTCACACCAATCGACAAGACCACATTGACCAAAGTTGCCTTTACAGTAATTCTTGTTTGTAAACGCGGCCTCAGCACTTAGTGAGTGTATTTCACGCAGAAAGATTTTATTTATTCGCCGAAGTAAGACGAACCTTTCATTAAATTCCTTTACTTATAATATTCAGCGTGTCTTTATTCGGGTTCCTTTACTTATAATGTTCAGCGTGTCTTTATTCGGGTCAAAAAGCTTCGAGTTTTTGACCGAGTTTGATATCGATCAAAGCCGTGGAATGCAATTCATTCTGTAACGCTTGACTTTTCTTGTAAGATAGTCCGATTTTTTGTTCAAGATTCTTTCGAAATTGCTATACTTTTTGATCGGTAACTTCCTATCAATTTCTTTATCCATCATTGATTGTCTGAAGAAATCATTGTGATTCTACTTTCTTTTAAAGTCCTGAATTTAGAATCTAAAAATCCCAATAAATTCAGCTTTTACGTTTTTTTTCTTTCTTACAACATCAATGTTCAATATATCCTTTTCATAGATTTTTGAAAAATTTGGAGCGGAAGGAATGAGTCGGCTCGAGTGATTAACAATTTGTACTGGAAACGCTAACCTTTGCTCTTTTATTATTTGCACCCTGAGAATAATTCGTAAAAACGTAAGTTTGAGCAGTATTCAATGATGATTTCAACTGGATAGCATTTATTTGAACTTCTTTTTCATCGATTCTTTGATAATTATTTTTATTTATTATTGGCTATACTAATTAGGAAGGAATGTAGTGCTAGAGTGAGCAGCGCGCGTTAGTGGAGAGGGCCCATGAGTATCTGGGACCGAAACTAATGACGGCTGCTGAGGAGAATACACAGTCTGTCACTGATTGTAGAGTGCATTTAGTCAAACTGTGAAATAGTTGACGCCACCTAAATTAGATAACTGTTTTACTATTTTAGCTGACGTCACATAATTTGAAAAATCACGTGCCAGTGCTCTGAAAATAAGGGGGGCGTATTAAACAAAAGCTAAGCAAATGAAGGGTGCGAGAAAAATCAATTTTCAAAGACGAATAACAGGGAAAATTATCTGTTTATCTTGTTGGAAATGTAATCATCAAATCTGCAGTACCCATTTTGATAGATATACGAGCAAGAAGCCAATCGGAGACATGAATGCCCGGGAGTTAAGTTGGATGACATGAAGAAGCTACGAGCAAATATTCTTGTATGATTGAGGTTTCAAGAGAACGAAATTGTTGTGGAATAGCACTGATGTATGAACGTTTAAACTACAAAAAATCCAGACTAAATCAGAAGAAAAGATAGYTGAAAAAAAGCTCAAGACCAGAGATTAGAGCAGCTTAGAGCATCGAAATATACCGTACGTGCGACCGGTGACCGACTTAATGGTATGTTTACCTACGCTTTTCTCCGCAAGCACTTAAACCCAAGAGGAATCCTCGAAACTCTAGCTTCGAAGTTACAATAAGAGAACCAAAAGCAATTGTTATTGTATAATTGATGGCACCAGAATTCACCCATACAATGTCAAATGCATTTAGAAATACAGTATTTGAAATATTCCTTTATTATCCAATCGGATAAATTGTACAACAATTTGAACTATATTCGATATTGTTCATTTTCATTGATTAGTCTAGCATACGAGATTCAAAAAATGGCGGGCTAAAGCAATTTTCTCTATAACGAACAAGATTTAAAATTGGCGGCTTAGATTAGCCCCCCCTGAATAACATGACCGTTGGTTAGGCGCGCGTTTACTATTTTAGGTGACGTCACCTAAATAGTTAACTAATTTAGATAAATTTATCTAACTATTTCACAGTTCGACTAAATGCACTCTAAAGCTGGCTGTCATTTGAGCCTCAACAAACATACTACTCTTTCCAGTAGACTGAGAATGTTTTATCCCCTTCGTAGCGTCTGTTATGTTAACCGCAAGTACATTTCAAGTTGACCACGTGATGCCAATGTTGTACCACGAGGACAAGTTTTTTACAAGACGTGATTAAAACTTGACTGAATTTTGATCACGTGGTGTAAAGACGTGTACAACATTGGCATCACGTGGTCGATTTAAAATGTATTTCTGGATAACATAACAGACGCTGGGAAGGCGATAAAAAAATCACAACTGCCTCGCTCTACTGGGAAGAGTAGTAAGCTTGTCGCGAATCCATAAAACTAACCTCATAGAATGTTCTTTCGGTTTGATCTAGAGAGATTCATTTAAATGTCAAAATAAGCCCAATCCTTCCTCAAGATTACTTAAAATTTGTTATTTTCCTTCACTGCCCACTTCCTTCGACCAAAATCCTTTATAAAGAGTTCATGACTTGCCGTTCAAGACGCCGTGTTTGGCGACATCTAATGACTATGAAGCTAGAACTTCAGAAACGATCGCTTTTAATATAGTATACGGTGAGGCAGGCTATCTTTCTCCTATCTTGACCAGAATGTTTGTTGTTCGTTTGCTCATCATTGATTGTTTCAGCCAAAGAAATTCTCGTTGAGTGAATGAAGAGTAGCTTCATAGCCTTGTATAAATTACTTAAAATTGAGTCAAACGCCCTGCTAGCAAGATATACAGTAAGCATGTTATTTTTTCATTTTCATGAAGTATGAAACAGTATTTGAGGTCTTTGTTTCTTTTTAAAACATTGAATATAACCATAGCATACGAGATTCGCCAAAGCGGAAAAAAAAAAAAAAAACGATTTCAAACTCAAGAAACAAACTTGCCGAGATATATCTTATCAGTTTGTGGCTAATTTTAAAGCTCTATTTTGATACCAACCACTATTGCGCAAATTTGGCATTTTCTGACCGACAAAAAAAACATGCGGAGAAACGCGATGCATTTTTTATCAGTCTTAAAAGACTGGTTTGCCACAGGCAACACAGTAATAAAGAGACAATTTTGTACATGTGTGCGTCTTCATTGGTCTATGGATTGCTCCGCTACCACGTTATTGTATGTAACAAAAAATGTAACAGAACGAATACAGTGGAAAGCGGTAAGATCAAGGCAACTAGGTTGTCACTAGTAGCTGTTCGTCATGAATCAAAAGTGGAGTTTACCAAATTAGTTCCTAGATTTGTACTGAGTTCAACAGCAATCTGCTCTCTGTCGGTAGATAGTGATTAATTTTGATTGATATAATTGGTTTGTGGTAGATTTTTGTACCACAATGGTGCGAACACAACGAAGCATACAATTTTTGGCTGAACCAAAATTTGGTCATGACTTTTGTTTGGCCGAACAAATTCTGCCTAGAGCGAAGAGGTCCATATATTCAGCTATTTTAAAAAGGGTTGATGAAGGTGTTTCATTGCATTTTGCATATTGCTTGTCGTACGTTAACACTAAGTTTGAAATACATTATATCCATATGTAATTTATGTCATCGCTGAAAAAAGTTATGCCGGAAAAACCTGTAGTTTAAGAACATTTAATGTTGTTGTGACCTTTTGCTGATTGTCACGTGCACATGCAGTTCCGGCTTTGTATGGAACAGCATGCAACAAAACCTTGACCAACCTTTTTTGAAATAGCTGTCCCTGCTTTGTAAGACACATTAATTAAGTGGCGTCATATTGGGAATCCTGATATTTGCAAATTTCCAATGACATTGAATAAAGATAATCACGGTTCGAGCGTGTCGTGACATTGCGTGTCGTGACATTGAGAAAGCATCTCAAAATTAGTAAGTATGGCAAATTTGAACATGATTGGGTGAAAAGAACCAGTATCATTTGCTTTCACAAAAATGTCGAAAATTCATTGCAAAGAATAAAATAAAGAATAAAATAAATAAATCACTTTATTTGAGTGTCTTGTGCCTCTAGCGCTTAACCCCGTAACCATACATTGTTTGCAAAATTTTAACGCTTTTGAAAGCTTGTAACACGCTTCAGTTTGAAATCTTGTAACTGTGGTTCTTTTTAACACATAGCGTTTGAATTTTAGAGACTTACTAATATTGAGATTAATGCGTGTACCTTATGGCCATTCGTCTTTTTAAAATAATTGAATTATCGATTTATTCAATTTGGCCCCAATTTTCGATATTTTTATCAATTAAAATTAAACTTTGAATTCCATTTTTTCAATTTTAGAGTTTTCGTTTAAATAGTTGAAAAAATTGACAGATACAGAGAGCAAAATCCCACACCTTATGGTCATTTAAGGTTTTAGCAAATTAAATTGTTAATTTTTTTAGTTTTTGAATTCATTTTTTCATTTTTTGCGTTAAAAAGACTATCGTTTCGATCATTCCCAATTTTAAAATCCCACATTTAAACAAAGTGAAATGAAGAGGAATGAAATACTATTTCCCACGTTAATCTTTGTTGGATGCAGACAATTGCCGATCATTAAAATGGCGCCAAGTAGAGTATACAGTTACTGTTTCATTTATTGACTTTCTAAAGGGGAGAATGCAAAAGGTTTGATGGAAATTCATCTTCTTTTCTTAGCACTTAGGGGAGTGCCACAGAGTACAATCTTAGGGCCTGTATTATTGTTCTCAGTAATGGTTAACGATATTAAGCCTATTGATCATCCTAGTTATTCTATACTTGCGAAGTATGCTGATGATTTGACCCTTAGTACTTTAGTTAACCAGGAGTATGATCATTCTTGTCAGGAAGTTAATA